TGCATTGTGGTAAACTGTGGTCAATGTCATGAGACAAAGTATATGTAAACTGCTATATGGAAAATGAATTTGCTCTGTAAATCTTCACCCAAATCACATTAAAAAAAAAAAAAAAATCTCACTTGAGAGAGTGTCTTTCTCAGGCTCAAAGAATCTTCATCATCATGCACATTTTGATTATCAAGTTCAGACTCAGCTCCTGAAAGGCTAAACAGATAAACATTTTGTTATGGAATTTATTGATGTCCTGAATAGGTTCAAAACAGAAAACTTTAAAAATCAACCAAAGTAAGCAATTTCCAAGATCTAATGAATTCTATGTAAATTGAGTAAACCCATAACTTACACATGTGTTTCTTCTTCTATTAGCTAGAAAGAAAGAAGGGGAGAAAAATCTTTGTTTAAAATGTTTTCTCTCTAAATGAAATAAAACCTTCATTCCTATAATATTCATACATACCTTGGAAGCAAAAGCAGAAAAGATAGATAATAATTTTGATTCTACTGACAGTGGGGGCAGCTCTTCCAGTGGTATGCCTTTGTTTATTTTTTCTTTCAAACTCACGTATCTAGCTTTTAAGTCTCCCAGGAGAGACAGCAGCGCTGATCCTAATTCTTTCTTAGCAGAATTATTTGTTAAGTTCCTGTTCAAAAGTTAAGTTAATAAAACTCGATTATTTAGGCTCAAGTTAGCCATTTAATACAAACATTATACACTTACTTCTAAGGATCTTTAAGTTTTTTCTTTTAAATGTTTAATAAAAGCAAGTGAACCAGAGTACCTAGGTGTGTTTTTCTAGGGGCAGTACGAGCAATCCTCAACATGTAAGTCAGAGCGATGATGTAGAATGTCATGCAAAACCCTCCAGCTGACTTCATCCTCAAGTGGACTTTTAAAATAAACATCAAATCTACCTTTTCTTTTTCCCAACCAAGCACTGCTGCCCCTCCATAAAATTCAATTCAAATCATTACTTTTTAAAGTCCATTACCCATAGGATGGAGCTCTAGTAGCATAGTGCCTAAGGCACTTGACTGCTAACCAGAAGGCTGGTGGTTCAAACCCACCAGCCACTCCTCAGAAGGAAGGTTGGGCAATCTGCTTCCACAGAGACACCACCTTGGAAACCCAAGGAGGGGTCGCTATGAGTCAGGGCCGACTCGACGGCACATAACAGCAACAAACAACAATACCTATAGGACAGCTAACAAGCCCAGTTACAACCTACTCCTCATCTTGCCTTCCAAACAACACTGAAGAAATTTTCTAGAATAAATTTAAAGCCAATACTAAGTTTCTATAAAGATACAGATTTACAATTGGTAAACACCTCTTCACTCCCTCCTTATTTTCCATCACAAGTCTGTAAATGTCCCAACAGTGGCGGTGGCACATCTGATAGTGAATACGCAGAAGGTACAGCTCGGCTTTGACGGCTCTCTGCACTGCTTCCTGACAGCACTGGGCTGGCAAACTCTTCCCCATCTCTTTAGAAAGTGGGACTTCCCTTTAAAAGAAAAGATGGTAAGATTCCAAACATTCTCTCTGTTGATGACATGCCTCTAGAAACAGTTTTACAATTTCTGACATTTCCCTCTCAAGTTTAAATAAATTTCTCCTTCACAAGTTTCAGAAAAAAAAGGACATCAAGAGTCAAAACTAAACATATTTTCCTAGAAGTTCAGGGAGTAACCAAGTCTCAAATTCATGCTTTCTGTACATCCTTGGCTTTCTCTGACAAAAAAAAGAAAGAAAGAAAAGGATTCCAACATGAAGTAATGATTTTATTTGTCCAGAACAAATGGATTTCCTACTTAAATCACGCTTTGGGCGAGATTTTTAAAAGTTGTGAGCATTTGGATGGAAACTGTTCTTAAAAGCATTATCTTTTAAACAGAAATAGATATAACTTATGTTTTTGTTAATAATTAAATAAGAGTCATTATTCTAAGCAAGTATTTCGCTGTGTGACTATACCAAAAAGCCCCAAGTGAACTATATGTCTTGAGAGTTAATAGTTTGGAGGTTTTCCTTGGCTACCAGTTACAGTTTCCAGCTGTCCCCAATGCGTCTTTCTTTCCTTTTTAATTTTATGGGGTTGGGACACAGGGCTAAACTCATTAGAAGAATGAGTGAAGCAAAAAATAAATGACTCAGAAAATGATAACTAATTTGGCTTTGCAGAGGCCTCCACCACTTTCTGGTTGTCTGCTGTGTTCCAATAAATGCACGCAATGAACTAAAATCAAGATTAAAATACCACTGTGATAGTAGCTATTTACTTCTTCAAATAGGAGGTTTTCCAAAGGTGCTATTTTGTTTTGGTGTACCGAGGGAGCAAAGGCGAAAGGGAATAATCACATCAGTGTGGATTTGGCTTGAATGAGTAAAGGGAAAACGCCACCAAGTGTTTGGAGGAATTATTGACACCGAAACCTCTCCAAGTGAAGAAGGGCTTGAATATTCTGTTGTTTTTGTTAAGTGCCATCGAGTCGTTTCCGACTCATAGCGACCCCATGCACAGCAGAACATTCTCTACTTACTAAATGTTTGTTTGTTTGAAATCAAATGGCTGAAGCAGGTCACCTACTGACATTTCTGAAAGCTATTATTCTACGCATGTTTACGTATGCCAGAAAATAAATGCTATTTTGATTTTTATCCCTGTGTGTACCTACCTGCAAGCAAACACATCTGACATACCTCTCAGGATGTTTCTTTAAGTCTGCGTTATCAAATGTTTTTCTTAATTCCAGAGAATCCTGAAAACGTTATTCAAATATAAATTAGAAATCTATGACAAACAATATGTCTTATCTTTGGGGTTCCAAACTGGCAAAATGCAAAACCCAGTTTCCAACTGGTTTCTGAGGCAAAGGTGCCACTGGAGGATAGAACTGGTGGCAATCTCTCCACGCTTCCCCCTCCCCCACTGTTTTCTCACAAAACCTTAGGAAGCTCCTCCCCAAGCATCATGCAGCCTCACACCACCACACAGAACCTTACCATGAATTGTACTGGTTTTACCTTATTTAGGACATGTCCACTAGGCTTTAAACTGTCAACTGAGAGAGATTTTCCTGGCCCTTCTGTCACAGCCATCTGCGCATCTCTACAGTCTTGACTGTGTGACCAGTCTGTGTTACAAGCCACACTTCTTTGCTTCTCACTCTGCCACTCACTAGGCCGTTTTTTATTCATCATTGTGATCTCTGTGTTGCTTGACGTGGACACCACAGAAGGCCGTGCACTTGTCGCCCTGCTAGTTGTGAAACAAGCCCTGAAGTCTGCACTGACGTCCACTGTCTGATTAACTGTAACCGTACAGCCTGCAGCCTCCACCGCTGATTCCAGACATGTTCCTTGCATGTCACGAGAACAGGTTTGATTTGTGGCATTGCTGTTAGCAACAGCCAGGTAGCTATCTTCTGCTGCCTGATTATCTTTGACTGCAATCCTTGGTGGAGGACCTGAAAAATCTAAGGCTGAGTCAGAGGTGTTTTGCAGAACTTGATAGTGTGAATATCCACAGGCAGAAATTCTTGAGTCATCAAAAGCTGAAGTCCAGGAGGTCTGACAATCTTTATAGGGCTCGAGTAATACCTCAAACGCTTTTTCCTGGGGTAACACACGAGGATCTTCAAGGGGTTGTAACATATTTTTCTCACCAGTGGTACTTCCACAAAAATCCTTACTTTCAGTTATTTGAGATTTCAATTCGTCCATGGAAACTTTAGTTTTTGATGCTTTCTGAGGGTTCAAGAAATCACTCTTAGATTGAGATTCCTGGTTTTCAGGAGTACTGCTTAGTATAATTTCATCAAGTATTGTCCGGTATGTTAAACTGGTCTCTTGTTCCTTACAATTTTCATGCTTTAGTCCATGATATTCTCTTAACATAGCAGAATTCTGGAATTTGGAGACATCTTCTTGTCCATAACCATCAGCTGAATCTAAAGAGAGGACAGAACCACTTCCCAATTTAACATGATCATCTACTAGATTGCCAGCCAGTTGAGCTTCATAACCTGAATTTCTTAGTCCACCAACTTCCAGGTTAGATCTACTTAAGGCTTTTGTTTGGTCAAAAGATAAAATGTCACTTATATATTCTTGTTCTTCTGCACTATGGTACTCCTGCTGCGAGTCTTCACCTGGGTCATGCCATCGCATACTGTCAAAAGTTTCTTTATAGTCATAGTCTGAAATCCTGTAGCTTCCTTCCAAGGCACTAGTCCTATTACCCTGATGCTCCAAGAGATCAAAAAACACCTCCTCTTTCTTCTTCATTTCAGGTTCTAATTCTGAATTTAAATGAGTATGACTTTCATTTTTTAGCTTGGAATCTGAATAACGTATAGAGTATGTTTCATTCAAGAAAACATAATCAATACTCTCTTCAAACCCACTTGATTGAGAGTGAGTACCCTCTCTGTTAGTATCTTCACTCACTGAACAAGATGGTGCCAACAAATCTATTGGGTCAATATTGCTGATTTCCTTGCCATTAGCTCTTCGCTCTGACCTGGAATCCCAGTCGTCACCAGGAACAGTACATCCGATTTCCTTACAACCATTGGAAATTACTAACAATTTTCCCTTCTTTGAATTAGAAGGCTCATCTGATTGAAAAAATAAAATAATAAAATGTAAGTTGACAGCAACATTACACAATCTAACCACTAGCAAACACTTTGGCCTGACCTGGCCCATGCTCTTTCCCAGCACATGGCTACTTTCTACACTTCCCATGACGGACAGGGATGGCAGCGGGATTCTTGTTGAACTCTCTGTGACAGGGAGTTTACTGCTTGAGCTGTAGAGAGATCTAATGAGAAACTTACTTCTCGTAAAATGACTTCATAAATCTTTGGGTGCTGCCAAGGGCCAGCCTAGGCTTAGAGAAACGCAGGTGCTGCCCCCAACTACTCATGTCTTTGATGAAGGCGACAGGTAAGCACCTATAAATGTAACGCAGCTAAAGAAGAGGGCCAACTGTCATGTTGATAAACAGGCAAATGCTTGGGAGGAAAAAATGTAGGGAAGCAAAATAGAGAAAATTATTTAGGCAAATCAAACAGCACATGCCATGTTAGCTGTGTGAAAGAATATGGCATTTCCAGGAAACTGTAAGCCAGCTCAGCTGGGCTAAAACAGCTCTACGGGAGGGAGAGAAGACGAGAGTGGGAAGAGGCCTCTGACAGGCTGTGATGTGCCAAGGACTTCATCTTTTACTCTAAGACAAGGGAGGACCACTGAAAGGTTCTCCTCAGGCCAGTCTGGTGACCAGAGTCGAGTTGTGTATAAGTAAAGCAAGAGTTTTATACCATGTCCAATGTATTCTGGTGTCTTCTATTTAAAAGAATCTGATCACAATCAGCTAAACTGATTCATGACCTACAAGTTGGCCACCAGCTGCTTAAACTTCATTCTAAGATAATGCTAAGGGTTATCACTTGTATGTAGTTGAACGGGAATATTCAGAGCAAAGAGACAGGGACTCTGTGAACAGATTTAGAAGGTGAAGAGGGAAGCAACGAGAGGAAGGAAATGATCCAGGCAAGTGGAGTGTGAGGTTAGTTACAGGCCACGCAGATGCAAATGTTTAGTAGGACGTTATAGACAGGGGTTGGAACTAAGAAGAGCAGTGCCAGTTTCAATTATAATCTTATGGTCTTATGAGTTGATTGTATTTTTCTTAGGGATTTGTAGAAGCTCTTCATATATTCTGGATACTAACTCTTTAGGTTTTACGTTTCTAATATAAGTGAATTTTTTCCTAGTTCATTGCTTATCTATTGACTTTTGTTTTTACAATTATCTTGTTATACCAAAGTTTTTACCATTATTTGGTGAAATAGATCCACCTTTCCTTCTGACTTCTGGGTTTTGTGTCTTTGGCCTTCCCTGCCACATGATTAAAAAAGTGTCTCCAATAATTTATATGAATTCTTGAGTGAATTGCATGTATTTGCAACATTTAGCCTTTTTACTTTGTGTGTAATTAATTTTTCGCTCCAGTACAAAGTGTTGCTGTTGTTAGGTACAATCAAGTTGGCTCTGATTCATAGTGACCTCATGTACAACAGAAGGAAACAAATCTTATTTATTTCCCCTGCCAAAGGACAGCCAATTGTTTTAACACTACTTGTTGAACAATTCATTGTTTTCCTTCTGAATTGAAGTGGCAGCTTTATCAAATTCGGAAGTCCTCCTGTTTGTTTTAGAATTTCCTGTCTGCTTCTGTTTATTCTGTCTTACTCACCTATTACCGTTTTGTAAGCTATACCATACTATTTTCAATTGCCACAGCATTAGAGGATTTTTTCTTTTCAATATTTGGTAGGTTAAATTTCTTCCTTTTTAAAAAAATATTTCCCTAGTTCTCTCCTCTAGATAATTTTTTTAAAGTTCATTATTTTGGGGGAGGGGATTTTTTTTTTTTAATCTCATGGGAAAACTCTATTGAGATTTACTGGGAAAGAGAGAGAACTATTATCACGTCTAATCTCTAACAGCTTTTCCCTAGATTTCCAGTACTATTTTCTACATGAACAGAAATTATGCTGTTTGGCGTGTGAGGATTCACTGTATAATATTACTTTACTACTGTACCATGGCCCTCTCGCCCTTCCTATAATACTTTCTTCACTTCCTGCACCGTCTATTAGTAACATCATTCCTAATTTTTAACTTCATTTGTCTCTTAACTTGCCTGTTCTTTTACTTTAAAACTTTGTTTCCTGTTTTCAACGTGTCTCATGCACAATGTAGGATGGGATTTTTGTCTTAATCCAGAATGTTCTCTTGATACATTTAAACCACGTGTAAATATGTTTTCTGTTGGCAGTTCTGGCTGGCCAGAAACTCTACCTTCCTGCTCACCTTCCTGTCTCCAAATCTTCCACTTCCCCAAGAGGTCCTGCCTACCAAACCAAAAAAAACCCAAACCCACTGCCATGGAGTCGGATCCGACTCATAGCGACCCCTCCTTGAGTTTCCAAGGCGGTATCACTGCAGAAGTAGATTGCCCAACCTTCCTTCCGAGGAGTGGCTGGTGGGTTTGAACCGCCAGTCTTCTGCCAAGTTAAAGACATGCTGAGTCTTATCACATAATAGGGAGGAAGGCTTAGAAATTAGCAACATGGAAAGTGGACTGTCAGGCTCAGTTACAACGAGCACCTTCCCCACCCAGGATAAAGCCGACTTGCCTGCTGCCTCACCTTTCTGGAGGTTTCCTCCATTTCTGTAGTAGGCTTTACCAGAAGCTGTTGCTACCACTGCAGTGGCCTCCATCACTCAGGGGTATATATTCTAGAAAAGGCATGAACACTGACTATTATACCTTCCATTATATTGGTGTGTGGGGGGGAACTATGGGAATAAGAATTTTGGTAAAGTGACAATTATAGTCAATAATTCTAGTAGCAGAGGGGTTGTTGCTGTAGCTGTTAGCTCCAGTTCAATCGAGTCCAACTCATGGTGCCCCCATGTTCTGAGTAGAACATCTCCACAGGGTTTCCAAGGCTGTGACCTTTCAGAAGCAGATTCCCGGGCCTGTCTTTCAAGGTGTTGCTGGGGGGGTCTGACCTGCCACCTTTTTGGCAAGTAGTCAAGTGCTTAGCCATTTGTGCCAATAATAATACTAAAACCGGTAGAACACTTAAGTAACTCTTTTAAAACTCTACATGAGCAGTTACACAAAGAACTGTACTATTTATTTAAACAGACAAGACATATTATTTTCAAATTACCAAGGAACATTTTAAAAAGCAACATGTTAGGCACGGAAAAAATCATAATCCCCAAAACAGGAGTTTTAAAGGCTTCAATGTGACCCCATTTATGGCAAATCTGGATCAAAATGTTTCTAAAACAAGTCACAGCTTTACTGAAAAGTGATGATGTGGTATATCCATGCAATGGATTATTTTTCAGCAACAGAAAGAAACGTACTGACACATGCTCCCTCCTGGTTTAATCTCAAAATATTATGCTAAAAGAAAGAAGCCAGACACAAGATGTTACATATACTGTATTATTCCATTTACATTCAGTAGCCAGAAAAAGGAAACTTAAAGAGACAGAAAGTTCAGTACTGGGGTGGGAAAGAGAGCTAACTATAAATGAGTAGGAGGGATTTTATTTTTGGAAAAAAGTTCTAAAATTGATTTATGGTGATGGCTGCACCACTCGATAATGTTACTGATAACCATTGAATTGTATACTTGAAATGAGTGAAGAACACCTCAACAGAGCTGCTTAAGAAAAAGTTAATGATGATAGCTCTTTGAACACAGCTTCCATGAGGAAGCCCAAGCCAGGCCACTAGTAGGAAAAATGAGGCCTCCCAATGTCAAGTAGGCACATGAACGATCCCAGAGGAAGACAGCACCAGAAATATCCAGCAAAACCACAAAAGCATTTTGAGCCCCTGGCTCCTACTTACATCTTCAGTGTCCATATCCAAAACAGCTGAGGTATTCTGCAATGGAATCCTAGTGACTAGCTATTACAAACGTTCCCGCTAACTTGGAAAAAAGAAATGATTTTTGTTCTGATTCTCCATGAACTATTTCAATTAATGACCTTGAACAAATCATCTAAATCCACTCTCCCTGATTCTATGATCAATGATTCTATGTTGAATGATAAGGGACGATAAAGCAGAGATAACAACTCAGCTCCATAAACACAGTCTAGTTTGTCTGGCTTTGGATACTGACTTTGCCACTTATTAAATAGTGCAAACTTGTAATTTTTTAAAAAACATGACAATGAGAACACAAAAGATCAATACTCATGAAACATGGCCAAAGTCATAACCAAAATAAGTCAGAACTTTTGATGACTATTAAGAATAGAAAATAAAATGAATTAAGCAGTCAACTCAAGAATCTAGAAAAGAACAAAATAAATTTTAAAAAATTAGGATAGAAAATTAGTTAATAGAAAAGCAGAAGTGATTGACTCACCAACAGTAAACATGATAAAGTCAAGAGATGTTCTTGGAAAAGACCAACCAAACCAAACTCATTGCCATCGAGTCGATTATGATCCATAGTGCCCCTTTAGAACAGAGTAGAACTGCCCCATAGGGTTTCCAAGGCTGTAAATCTTCATAGAAGCAGACTGCCTCATCTTTTCCCAAGGGAGCAGCTTTGGGTTTGGATAGCTGACTTTTTTGTTAGCAGCCAAATATTTTAACCACTATGCCACCAGAGATCCTTAAGAGTAGATAAATATCTGACAAATCTCTCTGAGAAAGAGGACTAAAACAAAAATTAGCAACAAGATGAGAATATTTTCTATTTTAGCAATAAACAAAAAACCGCTTTTGAAAATCGAGATTGCTATCATAGGGCTCACATGATATGTTTTGTTTCTCTCAGAAATCAGTCTTGCACTGCCCATTGTCCAGTATCTGAAATAGTTATTTCACGCATGTGGCCTAGTTTTCTCTTTGTCTTATGGTGACATGGTAAATCTAGGCTCTGTTAATCTATGATGTCTAGAAGCTTCAGTATATTTCAGAGTATGTTCTCTGACAATGATACCAGTAAAACAAACAAATTAACAAACCAAAAACTAGTTGCCAAGTCAGTTCTGACTCTTGGTTATGCCATGTGTGTTAAGAATAAAACTGTGTTTCATAGAGTTTCCAATGGCTGACTTTCAGAAGTAGATTCCAGGCCTTTCTTCTGAGGCACCTCTGGGTGCCTTTCAGTCAGCAGCCAAGTGTGTTAACCATTTGCACCACCAGGGACTCTAACAACAGTATAATTAATGTCTTAAAATAGGATAATAAATCCCTGAAATATTGGAAATTAAATATGCTTTTAAATAACTCATGGGTAAAATAATATATCACGATGGAAACTAGAAAAATTTTTTTAACTGAATGATTATGAAAATACAACATATTAAAATTTGTGGGATGCAGCTAAAACAGTACTTAGAGGGAAATATATAGCTTTAAATGCTCATCTTGGAAAAGAAGATGAGTTTAAAATCAATGTTCAAAGGTTCCATTTTAAGAAATTAGAAAAACCAGAACAATTTAAAACCAAAGGAAGTAGAATGGAAATAATAAAGAGAAGAAATAAACAATAGGTGTTCAGATGAACACCTATTAGATGAATAGATAAAAGTCATCAAAGCTACAAGTAGATTCTCTTTAAAAGATTAATGAAATTGATGAATATTTAACAAGACTGATCTGAAAAAAAGATAAAATTACAAATTATCAATATGATGAATGAAAAAGTAGGTATCACTACAGGATTTCCAAAATCAAAATGATAGTATAGGATAAAATGAACGATATTATGCCGTTAAATTGAATTTTGGCTTTATTTCTTAATTGATTGGTATAATTCATCAGTGAAGCCATCTAGGTCTAGAATTTTCTTTGAGGAAAAGTTTTTAATCACAGATTTCATTTCCTTAACATATATGTGCCTATTCAGAATTTGTCTGTCTTCCATTTTGGAAGATTGTGGTTTTCAAAGAAATGCGTCCATCTAAGTTGTAGAATTTGTTGTTGTTGTTGTTAGGTGCCACCAAGTTGTCTCTGACTCATAGCAACCTTATGTACAACAGAATGAAACACTGCCAGTCCTGTGCCAGCCTCACAATCCTTGTTATACCTGAGCCCATTACTGCAGCCACTGTGTCAATGCACCTTGTTGAGGGCCTTCCCCTTTTTCATTGACCCTCCACTTTACCAAGCATAATAACCTTGTCAGGGAATGGTCCCTTCTGACAACATGACCAAAGCAGGTGAGACAAAGTCTGGCCATTCTTGCTTCCATGGAGCATTCTGGCCGTACTTCATCCAGGACAGATTTGTTAGTTATTATAACAGTCCGTGGTACTTTAAGTATTCTTCTCCAACACCACACTTCAAAAGCATCAACTCTTCTTTGGTTTTCCTTATTCATCGTCTAGCTCTCACATGCATAAGTGGAGAATGAAAATATCATGGCTTGAGTTAGGCGCACCTTAGTCTTCAAGGAGAGATCTTTGCTCTTCAGCACTTGAACGAGGTCTTTCACAGCAGATTTGCCCAATGCAGTATGTCATCTGGTGTCTTGACTGCTGCTTCCATTGGTGTTGATTGTAGAACCAAGTAATAAGAAGTCTTTGACAACTTCAATCTTATCTCCTTTTATCGTGGTGCTGCTTATTGGTCCCATTGTGAGGACTTTTGTTTTCTTTATATTAAGGTATAATCCATACTGCAGACTGTACTCTTTGATCTTTATCAGTAAGTGCTTCAAGTTATCCTCACTTTCAGCAAGCAAAGTTGTGTTGTCTACGTATCGCAGGTTCTTAATGAGTCTTCCTCAAATCCTGATGCCATGTTCTTCTTCATATAGTCCAGCTTTTTGGATTATTTGTTCAGCATACAGACTGAATAAGTATGGTGAAAGGATACAACCTTGACGTACTCTCTTCCTGATTTTAAACTATGCAGTATCCCCTTGTTCTGTTCGAATGACAGCCTCCTGGTCTGTGTACAGGTTCCTCATGAGTACAATTAAGTGTTCTGGAATTCACTTTCTTCTCAGTATTATCCACAGTTTGTTATGATCTACACAACTGAATGATTTTGTATAGTCAATAAAACACAAGTAAACATCTCTGGTATTCTTTGCTTTGAGCCAAAATCCATCTGATATCAGCAATGATATCCCTCATTCTACATCCTCCCCTGAATCCAGCTTGCATTTCTACAAGTTCTCTGTCAATATACTGCTGCAACTGTTTTTTAAATTATCTTCAGTAAAATTGTACTTGTGTGTGATATTAATGATATTGTTCAATAATTTCCACATTCTGTGGGATCACCTTTCTTTGGAATGGGTACAAATACAAATCTCTTCCAGTCAGTTGGCCAGATAGCTGTCTTCTAAATCTCTTGGCATAGCTGAATGAGTGCCTCCAGTGCAGCATCCATTTGTTGAAACATCTCAATGGGTATTCCATCAATTCCTGGTGCCTCGTTCTTCGTCAATTCCTTCAGTGCAGCTTTGCCTTCTTCCTTCAGTACCATTGGTTCTTGATCATATGCTACCTCTTGAAATGGATGAACATTGACCAATTCTTTTTGGTACAGTGACTCTGTGTATTCCTTCCATCTTCCTTTGATGTTTCCTGTATCATTCATTATATTGCCCATAGAATCTTTCAGTATTGCAACTGGAGGCTTAAATTTCCTCTTCAGTTCTTTCAGCTTGAGAAATGACAAGTGTGTTCTTCCCTTTTGGTACAGGTCTTTGCACATTTCATTA